GTTTTAAGTTCTTAATTGTACAAGGCAATATTTAAAAAAATCCTGAATTTCCACTATTGTGACCCATGTGACACATTTTGTCTTAGCATGTCATCATCCCTATTTTATCCACCACCCCTTGAAAAAGTATGAAATTAAACGTAAATTACTCTCTATAAAATCATTATTGCTCAGACAATTTATAATTTTTATAGTCTTCAATTCTGTTTGGTTTCAGAGCTATCGATTAGAAAATCAACCCCCTCCTGCCACACCCACCTGTCACATCCTCTTTTTCAGAATTTGTTGATAGTTCTCTCTTGCATTTCATTATATATATATTACCTATAACCAATAGAAAGTCAAGGTTTTCATTTATCAAATGATGTATTATATAGGGTTGTGTTTTGAACATAGAAGCATCAATTTCACTTAGAGTACCAACGTCGTTCCTGTGGGAAAGTTAACGACTAGCTTGGATGAACTTGTAATGATTCTTGTTGCATAGTTAGAAAGCCACAAAAAATTTGAGTGATGGGGATATTGTCTACTTTTTTGCATATTATTAGTATATGTTCTTTGGTGCATTATTTAATTAAATGAAAATTATTAAGTGCATTACTATCTATAGTATAAAAAATTAGTGTTAACTCTCTTTGAAAACCCAACAGCAAGAAAAAAGAAGATTAAGTAAGTACGTTATTTCTTGTTTTTCATATTTATTCTTCATTTATTATTATAAAAGTAACTAAAATATAAAATCACAGATCTTTTTTGGTTAGTTAAGATTAGATTAGGTAAAATAAGTAATAATAATATAATTAAAATGATTCACGAGGCCCGCACGTGAGCTGCTCGTAGTAGATCTTGGGTAATGTAATTTGATAGCGTAATGCATCCTTTATGTTCTACGAGTGATTTACAACTTATAATGGTGCAGATACTAGTTAGACATGGTTCAAAGGGCAATAAAACAATAAAAGTTAATTATAAATAGATGAATATTGTTAAAACTTAGAGCTACTTAGGATAAATGAATGTAGTTTCATGTTACCATTTGAAGTCATTCTAGAAAGAAAAAAGCATTATTTAGACTTATTTAGATATTTTTTTTGGTGGTTATGAGGTCATTCGAATTGACTGATCCTGTTTTGGGATAGTTAGAGAAAATAACAGATAAACTATAAAGTTTTACTGACAAAAAATGTTTGAAATGCATTTAGGTGGTTTTAGGAATTACACAAAGGAAATTTGAGATTTTTGAGGTGAGAAAAAGTATTATTAATTTTGACATGAAAATTACTTTTCACACAGACTATTCAAAACAAATACTCAATATATTCTTGGACAAATCTTTATTTTATTTTATTAGAAACACTTTACTAAAAAATATGATCTTTTGTATGTGAAAGACAATATTAACTGAAAGACTGCCAAATTTTGTGAAGATATACACATTATATTGAAAGTTAGAAGTATTAAATCTATAAAGACTTTAAACAAGTACAAAGAGGTCATGTGGTCAGTCAAATTGACCAAGCCTGTGTTGAGAGAGTTAATATCATATTTGTCAATACCTTTAATTTACACCTCTATAATGCTCTTGATTTAACTGTTTATGTTAACTTATTTGATAATTTTTGTTATAGGATCTTGTAGTGGTCTTACAGGAAGCTCTTGAGACGGGTAAACAGCTTAGTGACAGTCATATCAAATTAGGAAACAAATTGTTAGTGTATATCAGGTGAGAGGTACTATTCATGTTTAATTAGCATATAGTAAACACATCAGGGAGTAAGTTCTTTGTTTATACTTGATGTTATAAAGAATCTTATTAATGTTGTGCCACTGCTAATGATCCTTCAGGAAGTTTTTGAAACAGATATGCAACATTTTAAATCTGTCTTAGTATCAGTAATGGTTTTGTTAACATTTGTGGATTTTTATATATTTCTCTACTAATTACACATTGGTTAACTTATACATAGATTGACCATTAAAATGATTGTAGAGCCTCATTAGGTTATTACAGTCTGTGTTGCCACATCCAGTCATTCTCTATTTGATGAATATGCATCTTGAAAATAACCTTGCAGTGTAGTTTCCATTTCAAAAGGCTCTGTTGTAAAACTGCATCTAAAGTACACAGTTTCCGAGCAGCTGTTTCAACAGTTCGATTGCACAAAATTCCATGGGTGCTGTTTCCAGTGACTTGACCAGTATGTCTTCATAAAGAATAGGCATGACTTGGGAGGAATGATTGGAAGCTTTAACTTGGTGAAACCATACCCTGTAGACGTTTTTGCCAGACAGAAATCTTTCTTGATTACGTTATGTATTGTTGCCTGGAGCATGTGGATGGCTTTTGCCAATGACTTTTGTTTTCAGTGGTTCTCACCTGTTACAAGATGCTACATTTTGCTTACCACAGTTGGGGTACATCTTATCTGATCTGAATACATCTTCATTATCTGAGTGTGTTAATATTTTTTCTTGGAATGTGCTGTTACATACCCTTCCCAAAAGCGATAAATCTTCATTATCACACTACCTATTAAATGCTAAAAAGTAACAAAATGTAGTTTTGATATGTGCCATTCCACTGCAAATGTGTCACTGCATTTCTTAAATGACATGCTGATTTGCATATCTAAAATTATTTTAATGTAGCATACTAAATTCTCTGTATTTATAAAAATGATTACTTTATTATAATAATGTTATTGATAGAAGGCTTTCATAGTTTCATGAAACAATTATATGAAACCATTTATTTGTGTGAGTTCAGTTTTGTTAATATCAGTTAGTTTTTATGGTAATGTTCAATCTATTCTTGTTTACATCACACAAAGGCTGCTGTGGTATGAATAAATGTAAAACAAAAAAGGAAAAAGTTATACCACAAACAAATGGAAAATGATAAATAGTTATTTTAGAATTCATGATGTTTTGGGCCAGGATGACCTTCCTCTTTGGCTTTTAAACTTTAATGGAACAGAAGTTTTGATACCATGAAGAGTTATCAAACATAAAACATTTGAAATGAGCATCATACAACAGATCTGTAGAAGCATGTTCGTGAATCACTAGCAAATCAGTATTATTTTCATATTAGGATAATATTAATATGTATGTTTGTATAAATTTAAATAATAAATAAAAATTGCAACTTTAAGTATGTTTAAAAGTTTTGAAAATTGTCAATTACAGATAAGTAGGGTGCTGTGCATTGTTACAGGGCAACAGTGTTACATTTCTGAAGTTTGAAAGATAGTTAGTACTCTAGTGTCTTAAAATATAATACAAAAATCAATGGTGAAAAAAACCCAACAAATAAAGGGTGTAGCCATGGGTACCATGATGGGACTGTCATTCACTAATATGTTTGTTGGCTACATAGAACACGATATGTTTCAAACTTATGATGGACCTGTGCTTGTTTTATATCAACATTACATTAATGATATGATTGGATGTACTTCATAATTTTATCAATTTTGTGAAGAACTATCATCAAACCCTTCGGTACACAAGCAGCATTTCAAACTATTCAGTAAACTTTGACATCACTCTAATCTTATCTATAAAGAATACCATTTTGACATCTGCATGTTTTACACAGATATATTTATTATTATTATAATAAAGTGCTTTTTGCCATTGATTTTATATTTTTTATTATTTTTAGACAGGGATACTAACTATCATTCAAACTTCAGAAACATGACTGTGTTGCCTGGCAACAGTGCATAGTACCCTACTTACCTGTTATTATTGTTGACATTTTTTTAAAGTTTTAAACATATTTAAAACCCTAGATTTTAATTACTATCTACCTATATATATATATATATATATATATATATATATATATATATATATTATACTAAGTAAAATAATATTATAT